AAGGTTGAAGTTTGATGACCATTCTTTTCTGGCTTGAAAAGTTTCGGCTGGAAGATCTGCATTCATCCTTATACTTTTCCATTTGTAAATAATGCTTTTCTTACACCTGGCTGCTTGCAGAAGTCTCTCCTTCATATTGGCAAAATTAATTACAATGTGTCTAGGAGATGCTTTGTTTGGATTGAGTTGTGCTAGGGTTCTAAAACTATCTACTATCTGAATTTTTGTGTCTTTTACAATACTTGGGAAGTTCTCCACCATAATGTCTTGGAGCAGAGAATTTGTGCCTTTGGCATCCTCCTCTTTCAGGAATCCCTATAATTCAGATGTTTGATTTCTTAGAATGATCCCATAACTCTCTCAGGGAGTATTCTATTCTTTTCCTCCATTTTTCTAACTCTTTGAATGCTTGGGATAGTTCAAAAGTTTTGTCTTCTTTATCTCAGATTCTTTCTTCCCTCAACTCTATTTCTGAGGGACTCTACTGTATTTTGAAGCTCCTCAAATGCCTTTTTCAATTCTTTAAGCTCTGCTATATCTTTCCTCATTATGTCCATATCATTGGTGACTTTATCTTTGAATTCATTAATTTCTTGAGACAATTGCTGAACTTTTTTTTTTCTCTGTTTCCACCTTTTCCTCCATTCCAATTGCCTTACTTGCCATCCATATTCTAAATTCCATTTCTGACATTTCAGCAATTTCTCTGTGGATGGGATTCTCTGTTGTATTTTGAGTCCCCAAGAGGTGTAGATCTGCTCCGATTTTTCATGTTGCCCCAGTTCTTCAGCAGATTCATCCCCATGAGTATTTTCAGCTTCTTCCTCTTTTACTTTTTTTAATATGTTAATTATACTTTTTTGGTTGAATTGATAGGTTGTCTCTGATGAATCCACTCCTCACCACTGCACTAACAAAGGCAGACAAGAGGTGAATCTGCAGCCCCAGTAGTGTCTCCAGGGGGACAAGAATCAGTAGGCAGTACTGGCCCAGAGTTCCAATCAAAGTCGCTCTGCCAGCACTGGCTCCACCCACCAAATCAAGCTCAGGAGGTGGCCCAGCTGAGAGCACTGATCCAGAGTTTAAGAGAGATGCTTATGCACTGGGCACCATCCAGCTAATTGAGCAGCTCAGGGCTGCAGCTCCATGGACAGTGTAGGGCCAGAGCTCAGACAATGTCACTCAGGCACTGGGTACCACCTGCCCAATCAAGGTCAGGGAACTGCTGCCCAGCAGGGGGTGCAGGTCTAAAGTTCAGATAAGAGTTGCTCAGGCACCATGCACAGCCCACCCAATTGAGCTCAGGGAGCCCCCACACGGTGGAGAGTGTTAATACAAAAGTTCAGTCCAGACTTGGTGCCCAAAGCTCAGTGAATAGGGTGCTAGCCACATAGACCGAGGGTTGGTGGGTCTCGCCCACTGGCCTAGACCTGCTAAACAACAATGACAAATGCAACCAAAAATAGCTGGGCATTGTAGTGCGCACCTTTAGTCCCAACTACTTGGGAGGCTGAAGCAAGAGAATTGCATAAGCCCAAGAGCTTGAGGTTGCTGTGAGCTGTGATGCCATAGCATTCTACTGAGGGCAACATAGTGACACTCTGTCTCAAAATAAACAAACCAACCAACCCCCAAAAGTTTAGTCCAAAGTTGCTCAAACCCTGACCCCACCTGCCCAAATGACCTAAAAGAGCCTCCACCCAATGGAGGGTGCTAATCCAAAATTTAGTCCAAAGTTGCTTAAACTCTGCCCCGCCTGGTGGAGGCCAGAGGTCTAAAGTTAGTTCAAAGTCACTTAAATGCTGGCCCCACCCACCCAACTGAGCTCAGACAGCCCTGTGTGGTAGAGGCCAGAGATCCAAGGTTTAGTGCAAAGTCACTTAAATCTTGGCCCTGACCAACCAATTAAGCTCTGAGAGCCCCACCTGGTGGAGGCCAGAGGTCGAAAATTCAGTCCAAAGTCACTTAAGACACTCACCTTCCCATCCAGTCAAACTCAGAGAGCCATTCCTGGCAGAGGGGGCAAATCCAAAGTTTAGTCACAAGTAGAAGTGATTTAAGCACTGGTCCCACCCACCCAATGGAGCTCAGTAGTCTTGAAGGGCAGAAAACAGAGTTATGAGAATTCCTGAGGAGCTGGAGATGGGTAGTTCATTTTCGTCCCACAAAAGCTTGGACTGCTGTGCTACTGTTCTCATGCTGCAGCTCTGTAGCCAGCAGATTTCCTGAGTTTCTCAGAGAGCTCACCAAACACTCTGGACTCTACAGGGGGCAGTCCTCCCAACAACAAGGGTGGGGGAAGGGCGATCAGGGTGCTCAGGATTGCAGGAAAAATATTTGGTCTTGGAGGACTGGGTCTTAGCAACTGCTCCTCCATGGGGTAAGGTGAGGGGACTTTTTTTTTTTTTTTTGCAGTTTTGGCAGGGGTCGGGTTTGAACCCGCCACCCTTTGTATATGGGACTAGTGCCCTACTCCCTGAGTCACAGGCACTGCCCATGTGAGGGGACTTTTGAACTCAGTTCGCTGATGACTGGTCATCCGCTGCAGAGCTCCCATTTGTGGGGAGGGGTCTCCCTTCCTCTGGGAGCTGGGCTTGTACCTTTTGTTTTTCTTCCACTTTCTTGTTTCTGCCACTTGATTCAGCCTGAGCGATGTGTACCTCACACCGTCCTTCAGTGCAGAGATCCTCATATTCGGTTTCCATCCACTTTTCAGTCCAGTATCTCTCCCTTTGGGCACGAGCCTTTGGCGAAAGCTATTTCTAGTCAGCCATCTTCCCACAATTCTAAAGTCATTTTGTTCTTGACTAGTAGCTTCACCCATTATTTTCATGTTTTTGGGAACTGTGAAACTGTGGCACCCGCACCTTCTTTCTTCTTAGCAGCTGGACAATGAGCCTTTGGAAACAGATTTACCATAGGTGTTTCTGATCCTGAGGCCTGATGTTCACATTCTATTGTTCACCCAGGTAAAAGCACAGGTCGATACCTGCATATTATGAATTGAACAAAAATTTGGTAACTAGGATCAATTGAGAACTCAAATTGATCAACATAAAAAGAGCCAACAATCCCATCTATCATGGGGCAAGAGAGATGAATAGAACCCTCTTTAAAGAAGACAAATGGCTAACAAATACATGAAAAAATGCTCATAGTCTCTAATCACAAGGGGGATGGTAGGAGAATGAGTAAATAGGGAGAGGAGATGTGGGAGGGGGATGGTGGGTCATGGTGTATGGCACACCTCTTGGGGGCAGGACACAATTATAAGAGGGACTTTAACAAATACAATCAGTGCAACCTAATTCCTTGTAGAATTTTGAAATGCAAATCAACACTACCCTGAGATATCACCTAACCCTGTGAAAATGGGCCATATCACAAAGTCTTGAAGCTACAGATGCTGGTGTGCATGTGGAGAGAAGGGAACACTTTTATACTGCCGGTGGGACTGTAAACTAATACAACCTTTTTGGAAGGAAGTATGGAGAATCTTCAAAGTACTCAAATTAGACCTCCCATTTGATCCTACAATCCCATTACTAGGCATCTACCCAGGAGAAAAAAATCCTTTTATCATAAGGACATTTGCACTAGACTGTTTATCGCAGCTCAATTTACAATTGCCGAAATATATAAATAGCCCAAATGCCCAACAACCTAGGAGTGGATTAACAAGTGGTGGTATACATATTCATGGAATATTATTCAGCCACTAAAAAAGAGGGGAACTTTACATCTTTTGTATTAACCTGGATGGAGATGGAACACATTCTTCTTAGAAAACATCACAAGAATGAAGAAGCAAGAATCCAATGTACTCTATTCTTATATTAAGGCAGTAGATGAGCTAATCATAAGGGGGAGGGTAGGAGAATGAGTAAATGGGGAGAGAAGAGGTGGGAGGGGGATGGTGGGTCATGGTGTATGGCACACCTCTTGGGGGCAGGACATAATTATAAGAGAGACTTTAACAAATGCGATCAGTACAACCTAATTCCTTGTACCCTCAATGAATCCCAAACCAAAAATTTTAAGAAAATTAAGCAAAATAAAATTTATAACCCCCCCCAAACCCTTCATAACAATGTAGCAAAAAACGAAGGTGGTATATATTCCAAATGAACATTTAATCATTTTTTTGATCTAAGATTTTGCAGTTATAATTGTATCTACACTAAATTTTATAAAACTTAAGATAAGCCTCATTCATAATTCTATATTTTGGTTTTGAGATAAATTTCTAAGTAAATGGGGGAAAGAATAGGGGCTTTAAGTTATTATTTTAAGTGGATTCACTTAACCTGGGCCTTCCAGGACCAATTATCCACAGATCACTCTTATTTGTATCCTCCCTTCCCTTAAGGAACAATGGCTTTTGTTATACATATAAATATAATATGTATATATGTGTGTATATATATCTGTATAACAGAAACCATTGTTCCTTAAGGGAAGGGAGGATACAAATATATATATATATATATGTTTATTTATAATAAATATAATTTATTTGAATTTGAATCAACACTTCTACCTTTATATGTGTGTGTACATATATATATATGAAGGTAGAAGTGTTGATTCAAATGTTGGTTTGGGGCGGCTCCTGTGGCTCAAAGGAGTTGGGTGACAGCCCCATATGCTGGAGGTGGCAGGTTCAAACCCAGCCCTGGCCAAAAACTTCAAAAAAAAAAATTAATTAATTAAAAAAAACCCCAAAACACAAATGTTGGTTTTAAGTTTATGTTAGTAAAAGAAAAGCCATAGTCGATATTGTCTAATTAAAACATGCCTTTATTTCAATAGCGAAAAGGTATTAATTTTATAATAAAGAGCTATATTATTCCTTATAACAGTAAACACATATCTTAAGTAGTAATCCATAAAGTGTATATTAAAATGGGCCTACCAGACCATTCAAAAGACTACATAAAATATAAACATTTGTTGATAATTAGAACAAATATTTATTAAATTATTAAGAAAACATGACTTTAGAATGTTAGTTCCTCACATTCCACATAGAATTTCCAATGCTGATCCATTATATGGCATGGAAGAAATTCTTGATCGCTGATTAATAGTATTTCATTTATTTGTAGATAATGTGGGATGCTTTGCATTAACTCTCTGGAAGTTCCTATTTAAAGAAGTATCAACAAATTAAAAACTGCATTTTAAAATGTAAGAGTTACATTTAGTTATTACAAATACTATAATCCAGCAAAGTCTATGAGCGAGCACACATAAGAGGTTTTCTGACTAAGACCTTCTTCACAAATTCCATTTTCTGTACCTGAGACAAAGCTATAAACCAGCACTAGCTGATCTTGGGAGACAGAAGCCTGTTTTTAGTCTAAAATACCAGGAAGAAAAGGATGGGAACTTTTGAAGGTAGTTGTATAAGGTCTTCTGTAGCTCAATTTCCAATAAATAGAGAATAAAACAATTATCAAGATGAAATGAGATTTTCCATGTGAAATGCTTAGTATACTGTCTGGCCATATAACAGATAATGAATATTAGCTGCTATTAATTTTTATTATTATTTATTACTAAAATGAGTCTTAGGCTAACAGATGGGTGATCAGTTTTGTAATCCTGACTCTGCCATAAACTTTGTGTGTGATCTCATATAAGTTATATGATTTCTCTAGACTTCCATCTCTCTGAGAGGTGAGAAAGTTGAAATCAAGGAAGGTTCCTGTTGGCTCTGCCAATCTAAGGAGTCAGTGATCCTAAAACTGGTTTCTTCAAGCTCCTTGATAGTCTCAGAGAAACTTTTTTCTCAAAGATTGGCTATATATCATCCACCTGACAGCACTAATAAGTGTGACCTCCACCAGGCAGTTTTAGTTAGACATACCATATGGCCCATACCATATGGTGCAAGAGCTCTGTACATAATTCTACACAATACAAATGTTTTATATAATCATACATCTGTAGGACATCTGCTGTTTTTGATGCCCAGTACCCATTTATCCTTCCTGTGGCAACCCACTATAATTTGCCTCAGTATGACCATCCTTTTTCCCATATTTAGCCCATGTGCTTCTCGCAGAATTGTTCTCAAGTCCTGATTGATTTAGATCTAGGCCAGTCAGTGAATAAACAGTGATTCAGGGATGAGAACAGAACCCATCCAGAGGTAAGGAAGTTGCAATGAGATCTTTGTTGGGTCTTCTGAGGAAAAGCCACATAACGTACATATTTCTTCTTTAGACTTGAACCTGGAAGCTTATAGCCCTGGGATGATGAGAATCCCTGGGATGATGAGAGGAAAGGCTATTAGAATGGATCCAAAATGGGGAAATACAGCTGAGAAATGGAAAGCAAGGCAAACTGGGTTCTTCATCATGCTCTCTGAATCTTGGGTAAAACTGAAAACTGTTCCTGGTCTTTTATGTACATGTGTCAATAAAATTCACTTTGGAGGGTTTTAAGCCAGTCTGAGTTGGGTTTTAAATTGTTACTTATAATCGAAAAAATTTTAACTTTTTTACACCTGATCCGTATGTAAACATAATAGTTCCTTTCTTAGTAACTTTGTTTTAAAGACTCTTGTAACAAAGCATTCTACAAAAGTTAGGAACTTTCTTCTCTCAGGAAAACCCCATAGAAATAAAGAATTTAAGTTCATTTCATCAAAATTAGCTTAGTTTAATGATTTAAACACTATTATTTCCACTAGTCATTCTTTCAAGATACTGCCCCCATTTTGATTATGATTTGACCAACTTAGTGTATCTATACCTAGTTTCATTTATTTGTAATTCATACTTTACTCATCAATTTTTACTACTAAGGCATGTACAAATACTTCTATAGGATTGATATGCAGAAGTACTGGGTTGAAGGGTTTGTAAACATTTTAAATTTTAAAAGTTTCTGCCAGAGTGCCTTCCCAAATGTATCCTTTTTTTGTTTTTGTGTTTTTTTTTTTTGAGACGGAGCCTCAAGCTGTCCCCCTGGGTAGAGTGCTGTAGCATCACAGCTCACAGCAACCTCCAACTCCTGGGCTCAAGCGAGTCTCCTGCCTCCGCCTCCCAAGTAGCTGGGACTACAGGCGCCCGCCACAACGCCCGGCTATTTTTTGGTTGCAGCCATCATTGCTGTTTGGCGGGCCCGGGCTGGGGATACGAACCCGCCACCTTAGGTGTATGTGGCTGGTGCCTTAGCCGCTTGAGCCACAGGCGCTGAGCCCCAAATGTATCCTTTTATATTGCCACCAATAATACATGAAAGTACCTCTGAGAGTTCCTGTTCTTTTCCTCTACATCCTTGATAACACTGAATATTATGAGCTTTTTAAGTTTTGCTATTCTGATACCAAAAAAATTTCTCTATTAATTTTATTTATTTATTTATTTATTTGAGAATGGTCTTGTTCTGTCGCCCAGGATGTGATGTGCAGTGGTGTGATCATAGCTCACTGCAACCTCGAACTTCAGGCCTCAAATGACACCCCTGATTCAGCCTCCAAATAGCTGGGCCTATAGGTGCATACCACCAAGCTTAGCTTTTTTTTTTTTTTTGGCCAGGGCTGGGTTTGAACCCATCACCTCTGGCATATGGGGCCACCACCCTACTCCTTGAGCCACAGGCGCCGCCCAGCTTTTAATTTTTTTAATTTTCTTTTAGAGACATGGCAAGTCTTGAACTCCTGTCCTAAAGCAATCCTACTGCCTTAACTTCCCAAAGTACTCAAATTACAGGTGTGAGGGTGGTGCCTGTGGCTCAAGGAGTAGGGCCCTGGCCCCATATACCGGAGGTGGTGGGTTCAAACCCGGCCCTGGCCAAAAACTGCAAAATAAGAAAAAAAAATTACAGGTGTGAGCCACTATTCCAGACCTCTCTATTATTATTATTATTATTTGGCATCTTTTTGATTACTACACAGTGTGAGCACATTTCACATATTTAACATCCATTACAATTTCTAGGATTAGGCTCGCTCGGCGCCTGTAGCTCAGCTGCTAGGGTGCCAGCCACATACACCAGACCGGGGGGGGGGTAGTGGTTTTCAAACCCAGCCCGGGCCAGCTAAACAATGACAACTGCAACAAAAAAATAGCCAGGCATTGTGGTGGGTGCCTGTAGTTCCAGCTACTTGGGGGGCTGAGGCAAGAGAATTGCTCGAGCCCAAGAGTTTGAGGTTGCTGTGAGCTATGATGCTACAGCACTCTACCAAGGGTGACATAGTGAGACTCTGTCTCAAAAAAACTTTTTTTTTTCTAGGATTAGGAAAAGTGTCTATTAAAAATTTAGTCTCTGGAGTGGTGCCTGTGGTTCAATGAGTAAGGCGCTGGCCCCATATACCGAGGGTGGTGGGTTCGAACCTGGCCTCAGCCAAAGTGCAACAACAACAAAAAATAGCCGGGCATTTTGACGAGCTCCTATAGTCCCAGCTACTTGGGAGGCTGAGGCAAGAATCGCCTAAGCCCAAGAGCTGGAGGTTGCTATGAGCTGTGATGCCATTGAACTCTACTGAGGGTTACAAAGTGAGACTCTGTCTCTAAAAAAAAAAAAAAGTTGTCTTTGAACTAGTAAAGGCGATATTAAAAAATAAAAGAAAAGTAAAACATTATTTTTCTCTGCATTGATTTGATCAGATATTAATGAAAACAAGGAGATAATTAGGTCAAGAGTTCAAACTCTGTATACATCAAAATTCTGCTCCCAAACTAGATTCCTTAGTTTACTAGGCACATTCACTGGAGTGTAAATGTTCAGTTAAATGTGGCATTCCAAGTGAAATGAAGCTAAAAGCTCATGTCTTGTTAACAATGGAGTGATAGCAGTAGCTCTGAAATACCTATATACTTGTATATTTAGCTCAGCCACTGCTTCACAGAATCACTGATTACAGTTCTTATTCTATAAAGACTAAAAGTTTTGAGAAAGTTCATTTTTATTACTTTTCAGCACATTAAATGTTTTAATAATACATAAGTTATTTTTTAGCAAAACACTGAAATAAGTGCTAGAAGCAGCTGTCATACTTCTGGTTGATTTCCACAATGTTGTTTGAAACTACCAGCAAAATCAACAAGACCACAACAGCTAATTCAAACACAATTTAACTGACATCTGAAAAAAATTGTTCTTAGTAAAGCACAGAAGAGATGCCTGGGGGCAGGGGCAGGGCTCTGTTCACACCCTGGCACTGGGGATTCTTATATGTGTTCTAAGAGGCAGAACAGGAAGGCCCTTAGCTGAGTGTACACACTGACCCAGATGGCATAAAGCCCTATCACCTTAGACCTGCGTTCCCTTACAGTCTTTACTTCTTCACAGCCTGCACAGCTCCAATCACAGCCATCTGGTCTTAATCCACTGCTTGAAATTCCAGTGTAAAGTTTCCTGCAACGTGCCAAATTACCCAATACAATTTACTACATCTTAATTGATATTAACTGTTATTTTATAGCTACCTAAAAAGACTTTCGGCAAAGTCTGTTCATTGCTTCCATTTTTGCCTTCTTTTTTTCCCCCTCAGAAACAGAATCTCAGGATATGTTATATGGAAAAACTATTTTTCAGCCTTCTTTGCAGTTAAGTGTGGTATATAACTAAATTCTAGCTAATGAGATATAAATCAAAGTGTTAGACTTTAGGGAAGGTTTTCAAAGGGGACGGACACTCAGAAGCCTTTTATTGACTCTCTACTTTCCTTCTAATTCCTAGAAAGTAGATGTGATGGCTGAGGATTCATACTTATTTTGGGCCATGATTTACCTCAAGATATGACCAGTACTGAGGAAGAAGGAGAAGAAAGACCTGATGACTCTGTGGTGCTGCTACACCTCCTCTGGATTACCATGGATCCAGACTTCTCCATGAAAGAATAATTCTTTGTGTTATTTTGGGTTTTCAGGGGCACAAAGCCAAATGTCATCCTACCTACTACAGAACTTTTACATTCTAAGAAGTAGATAGGAAATTTCTGCAAAGACTTAGACCACCAATTCCACCTTAGGACTTTATCTTTGGAGGCACAGAGAGATCTTGAATATATTTAGGCACATGGGGGGATATTTTTTAATTTCATCTTTACTAGTTCATGACATGAAAAAATACAAAATCTACCCAATATGCCATTTTTGATACCCTTTTTAGTATTATAAGCATATTATA